AAACTGTACTAGCTCAGTGCTTCCTATTTTGTATATACTTCCCATTTTGTATGTACTGTATAGTGTAATGCTCATCACTGCTGTGTGAATATTAGCTCAACCCAAGCTAATATTCATACAGCAGCTGGCCACACTTCCACTTATTTGACATTTAAAATCGGTTGTCATGGAGTTTGACTAGTTTTACAGGAAACCTGTACCACCTCCAATCAGTTTACTATCACGCCTGCCTAAGGTGGTTCAGGCTACCTATCTCATGAAAACAGACTGCTGCTCATACTGCCTCAAGCAGCGAACACATTACATATAGTTTTTATTACCTGCGTGCAAAACACTGCACTTGTCTACATTAAATGCTGCTGTATCTGCCATTAATAATTAATAATTAATAACACTGATGCAGTGCAGTGTATCTAATTCTATGGTCAGAAGTGTGAACTTGATGCACATTATAAGACAAATCAAGGAAAAATGACGGAGTTTTATCTGCAAAAATATCAATAGAAAGAGTAATGATGCAATAGAATAAAAATCATTGCAAAATGTTATTTCTCTACAGGGCAAAATATTTAATCTTATTAAAGTGCACTTATTGTACTTGGAAAAACTGTCTATCATAGAAAATATTTTTGCAAAACCACATCCTGAGGGGTGTGATGCTCTTGAGTCTCTGAGCCTTGGCTCCAACAGGACAGTGACACATGTACACCTGCTATCCCACTGTGTATCAGCATGCCCTGGGCAGAACTGGAAGGAACAAAACCACAGCATGCAGACAAGCCCTTCTGTCCCTGAGGACACTGGAATAGAAACAAGAACCTCGGACACAACCAACTCACAGTAAAAAAATATTTTAAAAATTATCTGTTATAACAGTCTATTAGTTAATATTTGCCTTACACTGTTAGTATAGCACTAGAAGGATTTAACAACATTTTGAAGTAGGTTTGCAAATGGCAGTGTTGGTCCATAGAAAAATGTGATAAAGTTAGAACAGAGAAGAGGGAAACAGCCAAAACAAGAGGAATTAAGAGGAAACTCATGTTTGTGTCACATCTCTACAGCTTTCTCCAATGCCTTACTCTACATATGCCATGTGGCAAGGGTGTTTTTAAAAATGGTTCTTAAATTATAAAAATGAATACATAGATTTGCCTTTGATCTTATTGTTGCATAGACAAAGGTATTTAAGACTATCAAGAAAGGCAGCGCAATGCTAAAAACCTTCACACAAAAACATAAAATAGCATGGTACTTAAACCAAAGACGTTAAAATGAGGACCTTTTCTTCCTTGCAGTAATTCCTAGTGAACATATCATATTTATGTGTTTAGTTATATTTATATATGGTCCATTCAATGCATACTGGTGAGGTTATCAACTGCCATTAAGTTCCCAACTATAGACTACATCACTTTCTTGATGTCTTCACCAAGACATGATAGTTAAAACTAAAGTGTTTTCATAAGTAAACTGGGACATGAAAGCTTTGTTTCTCAATCTTTAAATCAGAATTTAAATAACAGGTTTGTTTTTCCCTGCTGATGCTGTGCTGTCACAATTGTTAATCCTGTTCAGTATGAGAGGAGCCGCAGGTTCAGACATTTGGAGTCTGTGCTTGGCTGAGGACACGATGGTG